CCCCCCCCCCACAGTTAATTTTCATTTTTAACTTTCCTCCAGGAGCTTTGGTGGGAATATTAGTTTCAACTTGACTACAACCCGTTTAAACATCATCATCTTTTTGATTTTCTTCATGAGTGGTGACTTGACACTGCTGCTGTGATAAGAAGTAATATCAATGGACATTAAGCTTATATAACAAGTGTTTTAATATAGCCTACGATCATTCTGAGTGGTGGGTTTGAAATATTTAAACAGCGAAGTGCTTCTTTCTTCAAGCTAACTGGGGCAAACTTGGCTGGCTTTGATCAGCAGACTTTAATAAAGAGATAGACGGGATTCATAAGGTCACTTTCTGTCTTTTGCAACCTAATCAATAGGTTGCATCAAATATTTTAGGTGTTGGGGTAGTTTCAGGGTTTTTGAAGAAAACTTTTAGCTTAGCAATTTTTACCACTCTTTGTATAAACCCCAGTTCAAAGGCAGTTTTTCTGCTGCGTGAAAGTGAGYCCGTTCTGTCCTGTGAGAACATGAGGCAGCAAATTTGATCCCCAAATTTCTATTCTGTGTTTCTACTCAACGTCTTTGCTTCCTCATCTGATCGAAGCTGTGGCAAAGGTTCAGTAAAAACAGAACCCTACACCCGTCCCCTTCCAGTAATCATGACTGATTGCACCTCATCTTCCCAGTTTGCCACTTGTTCGCCGCCATCTTTACTTTTGCGCTCTGCCTAGCAACAAGCGCAGGCGCCATTTTGGACGTGGTATACATCAGTTTTATGCCATTTAAAATTTATATATAAATAAATGCTTTCCCACCTCTGCTGAGTTGTGGAGCCTCCCGTGTGGCTGTTGGACTGGATTTAGGTAGAAATCCCTATATGTGCTGGTGGGTTGGCAGCTTTGTCACACCAGATTCCAGCTTTCATGCATCATCATAACCGAATATGACATCTTGCGTAACTTACACCATGCAGCTGCCATGCTTTTCCAATGTCACTTACAGGCAGGCTGTGTCAGCACTGATCTTCAGTGACCAAGTGCAATTTTAATTGGATCTCTGGCTTTTTTCTTCTTGAACCTCCCCTAGGTCGAGTCAGAGGTGCTTTTGCTGCCCGTTTTTGCTTTCTTTTCATCAACACTCCCGCAACCCCCCCCCCCCCCCCCCCCCCCCCCCCCCAGATACTCTTGTTCTTCTTTCTTATCAACCTTTATCCCTGCAGCTCCTGGCCATCTTCACCCTCCATGGTGCCTCCATGATGGCCCCTAATCTCTGCCAGTGTGGTTCCATGGTGAGTAGGCGTCCTCTGCCTGATTTTCTCCTCTAAAACGTGCAGAACATTGCCTCTCTCACTTTGCAAAATTGCAACAACACAGATGCAGTTGCACAGACATTTCTTCTTTCCACCCCCCCCCCCCCCCCACCCTTCACCGCCTTTCCGGTAGATGCACGGACTGATTCATGCAGATTTGACACCAGGCATCAACAATACAAAGAATGCATAATGAGGTCCAGCTGTAACAATCCGTCATTTTTCTGATTTTTAAAACAAAAAATGCAATCAAAAGTAATAAATGCTGCATTGCAGGAGATGTGCAGCTCGTATAAAGCATTCCTTTGTGAGATAAGGTGATCTGTTTCATGTCTTACTCTGTGTTTGTTTAGAATTAATGAGCTCCTAAAACACAGACATCAGACGCGAGTCCCTCATGTTAGACAATGCAATCATTACAGTTATATGCACATGTTTAGAGAAATGGAGTCCCAGCTCAGGGCTCCTATGATTTAAGCAGTCCTTTAGATTTCTCTCATGTTCATCTGCACAGCAGTTTTGTGATTTTTGCGGTGCCAACCCCCTGCGTGGACCAGCCTACACCAGGGCTTATTAAACTAGGCTCTTTTTTAAACTCCTCTCAACGGTCGCTCCACTGTCAACTTAAGCCCAAGCCCCTAAAAAGCTCAGCGCTCTCACCATTGTTACAGAATTTGCCAAAAATTGGTGCAGCTGACTGGAGTATTGCTGAATAGCCAACATACAGCAGGATGGAAAGAAAAGCCCTGCCCACCCCTCATGTGTAATGCATGCTTGTCTTTTGATGCTATGCAATTTACCCTGTGGCTGATTCTTAAAAAAGAACCCCCCCCCCTTTTTTTTCCTTTTGTCGTTTATTATCCATGCCTTACATAACAGGTATTTATAATAATAATAAAAGAAAAAAAATCTGATGAGCCAGTTTTTGAGACTCTTTCATGCTCTCCTCTAACCTGGTCAGTTCATCAGGGGCCTGTGAGACAAAAGCAAACAAATGAACAACAAAGTGATTGCTAAAGGGATTGTTGTGGCCTGAAGTGATGCAATAAACAAACAAATAAACAAACAAACAAAAAAAACTATTTTTTGGTTTTTATCTTTTTTTTTTGAGGGGGTTTAAAGTTGTGTTGGGTGCGAACACCTTTGAAGATCTTTCATGTCCTCCAAGCTCCAAGCYTTTGCATCCTTTTAAAGGAATGACCATTACTTTGGTCCTCTTCCTTCTAATCCCTTTTCCAGACCCTGAGCCATCCGACATCAACCGTCCCGAGCCTTAATGTTCTCCTGTCGTTGACGAGGGCAGCTGGGAGCTTTCATGTATGTGAAGAGCCATACGAATGTGCTTAAATCTGCATATTTAAGCAGGAATGTGTGCCTTCATCCGTTTCTGGTATTTTGTGAACAGTTTGAGTTTATGATCTTTGAAAGCAATGATCAGTTAGAACCCGTGCATAATGATTCCCATTTTGCAGGATGCATTTGAAGTGTTTGTTAGAGACGGTTACAAAAGGCTTTGATCGCGCCTCCTAAAGAACGCGCCGCTTTAGATTTTTACAAAAGCTCTGCAGAGATGTTTTAATCGCCTGTTGTCTTTGCTGCCTCTCAAAAACTATCACCTTTTATTAACAAAAAAAATGTAGATCTGTTCTGAGACTTTTCTATGATTTCTGAACATTTTTGTTGTTGTTTGAGGTCAGGCTTGAAACGGGACTCCCATTGATCACGATCCAGGGTGTTTCAAAGTGGCGAGTAATCGCGAGTGTTTAATTTTATCTGTAGCAGTATGCATCGCGAGGCAGCTGCGTAATCAAGCCTGTGAACTCGACATCTGACAGACGCTTTCTGTTTCTGATCACATCCTTTATTGAAGCCCATCCATCCGCTGAACATGGGTGTGTTGACAYGCTCCAGCTCGCGCCTGCCGGTGCGAGGCCGTTAAATCGACAGGGACCGGACATGGAGCTGTGCGCACTTCCCATCCAGGTGATTGTAGCAGTGTAGCTGAATCCCACGAGGCTGCAGTTTAGAAGCCTTTAAGTGAGAATGTATGTCAATCTTTCTGTTAGCCTTAAATGCTTCAACATCACCCCAGGGCCCAACTTTACAATGATGGATGCAGGGATGGTGGGGAAGAGGGTGGTCCAAGCACAAGACAGGAATTCCCCTTGGGCCTTTTTCAATTACCCTTAGACCAAGGTTTTGGTTGTGATGATGTGTTGAATTAAGGCTGTGACATTAATGGAARGGGACAAATGTGATTTGGTGTGGTGCTGACCCTAAAGTGCAGGCTGAAGCTAAGTCACAGCTCTGAGACGACAGTCGGGAGAAATGCGATAAATAACTGGAGTCACGACTGTCACAGCTAATCACCCGCAGCTATAAA